ATTAAGCTACCTGGCCAGGGCTCAAGAATTTATGCTTAAGGTTTGTTTAACTCTGGGCCTCAATGTTCTTGGTGATAGATGTTGGAATGCCCCTGCTCTCTGCCCTGATGACTCACTCCTCTCTCTCTCCCTGCAGTTGCCTCTGGGGATGAGCACAGGGAGAAGGTTGATCTGGTCGCCTACTTTGGGAAGAGACCCCCAGGCGTGCTGCACTGCACAACCAAGTTCTGTGACTACGGGAAGGCTGCCGGGGCCGAGGAGTACGCCCAGCAGGATGTGAGTGCTCCTAAGGGACACGGGGGAAGTGGGGAGGGGGCAGGGCTCTGGAGGTGGTACTGGCTTAAGGCAGGAAAACAAGATGGCAGCTCAAGAAAAATGAAATCTGCTCCAGCTCACCCCTCTGCACGGCTTATTGCACAGACCTCAGGAGTCCTTTCTGGGGCCCGCCTGGCAGTGCTGCCAGCGTGCGCATTTGTCCTAGGCCTGCCCACCAGTGCTGGTTCACCTGTAGGTTAATGGTTGGGAGCAAACTCCTGCTCTGGCCTCTGTAAGCCTCCATTCAGTCTCCTGAGGGAGCCTGGTGCTGAGGTTTCTGTCCTCAGGTCTGAGGCCTCGCCTTGCCCCCAAGTAACAAGTGTCCTGGAATAACGAGGTTTATTGGCTTGGGGGTACCCGTTCCTTCCTCACCTCACAACTGGTATCCTCGCCCACAGCGACATGGTGATCTGTTGCCGGGATATACATGGCTGTCTCTAGCCTCCTGCAGGTCACCTCAGCAAGGCCTTCCCTGACCCTCCACCATCTCCCCCCACTTCTCTGCCTAAGTTAATGTAGCCAGTTTACTTGTGTGGTCATTGGTCTCTTCCCACTGAAATGGAAGCTCCCTGAGGGCAAACATTTTTTATTTGGGCTCACCTCTCTTCCCAGCACCTAGCCTAACTTCAAGAATAAGTATATATTGCCCTGGCTGGTTTGGCTCAGTGGATAGAGCACTAGCCTGCTGACTGAAGGGTCCCTCGTTCGATTCCAGTCCAGGGCACATGCCCAGGTTGCGGGCTCGATCTCCAATAGGAGCCTGCAGGAGGCAGCTGATCAATGATTCTCTCTCATTGATGTTTCTATCTTTCTCTCCCTCTCCCTTCTCTGAAATCAATAAAAATGTATTTAAAAAAGTGTATAACACGTTTACTACCATCTTTAACCATTCATTCATTTAGCAATATGTGTTAAGCATCTTTTATGTGCTAGACACCACTGGGACAAAGGACTGGGAGCAGAAATATAGAGAAGCTTTTATGGTCAGATGGGCTTTCTCTGAGAAACAGATATAACCAGATGTACAATCAGATGTAAAGCAAGGTTTTGCTCCAGGCATTTATTTCTCACCTCGTCCTGCCCTCCAGGCTATGGCCTGGTTATCAGGGTAGCTATGACCAGGGGAAGCCCAGTACTCATGACAGTAGCACTTACGTGCCTGACATTGTTCTTTTTTAAAATATATTTTTATTGATTTCAGAGAGGAAGGGAGAGGGAGAGATAGAAACATCAATGATGAGAGAATCATTGGTTCGCTGCCTCCTGCATGCCCCACATTGGGAATAGAGCCCGCAACTTGGGCATGTGCCCTGACCGGGATTCAAACCACAACTTCCTGGTTCACAGGTCAACGCTCAACCACTGAGCCACACTGACTAGGCCCAACACTGTTCTAAGCTCTTCACCCAGTCACTCCTTTAACCCTCACATGGAGATGGGTTCTAGTGTCATTCCATTTTACAGATGAAGAAGCCAATGGAGAGAAGTTCAACAGCTTGCTCAAAGCCCTGCAGCTAGTAAGGGGGGAGGGGGAGACTAGATTCTAAACACATTGTTCTTTTTTAAAATATATTTTTATTGATTTCAGAGAGGAAGGGAGAGGGAGAGGGAGAGAAACATCAATGATGATAGAGAATCATTGATTGGCTGCCTCCTGCACAACCCCTACTGGGGATCAAGCTGGCAACCCGGGCATGTGCCCCTGACTGGAATCGAACCTGGGACCTTTCAGTCCTCAGGCGAGGCTCTATCCACTGAGCCAGACCAGCTACAACGACCTTGTTTTTTCACATTAGCCTCAACAGTCAGTGGAAAAACACCCCGACACCACACAGGCTGTTAGTGATATTTATGGATGCTATGCCTTTTACCAAAGGGCTCTGCTCACTTGTGCTCACCTGCCAGACCCACGCTTCACAGCTGTCCTCTCTGCTGGCCACCACCTCTAGCTTGGTCCTCATTCTCATTCTCTCTCTCTGCAGGTGGTGAAGAAGTCTTACTCCAAGGCCTTCACACTGACCATCTCTGCCCTCTTTGTGACGCCCAAGACAACGGGAGCCCGGGTGGAGCTGAGTGAGCAGGAGCTGCCACTGTGGCCAAATGACGTGGACAAGCTGTCTCCCTCTGACAGCCTGCCCCGGGGGAGCCGTGCTCACATCACCCTAGGCTGCGCGGATGACGTGGAGGCCGTGCAGACTGGCATTGACCTCCTGGAGATTATACGGCAGGAGAAGGGGGGCAGCCGAGGAGAGGAGGTGGGGGAGACACCCCGGGGCAAGCTCTTCTCCTTGGGCAATGGGCGCTGGATGCTGAACCTGACTAAGAATCTGAAGGTCAGGGCCATCTTCACGGGCTACTATGGGAAGGGCAAACCTGTGCCCACACAGGGCGGTCGCAAGGGGGGTGTCTTTCAGTCCTGCACCATCAACTGAGTGTTCTCACCACCCCTCGGGTGCCCCTCTTTAGAAGGGAAGGGGGTGCAGAAGGAAGCATGCCCTCTGCTTGATCTTTAAGATTTTTTTTTATTCAGTTAACCTTATAACCTTTTCAAAACTTGTAAGATAACTGCCCCTTTTTCTGCCTACCCTCTTCCTGTCTAATTCAAGCTCTCAACACAAAGGGGTGGGGGCAGGTACCATTCAGGAATCTGGACCAGAGCTGATAAGCTGGGCCGAGCTGGGCCTGGAGCTGCAGCCACAACCATGAGCCCTGTCCAGAGCTGGCTAGTGGGAGAGACCTCAGGGCTCCGCGTCCCTTCAGCCACGGGACACTGGTGGTGGGAGTGAGAGGGGAGGATCCCTGGGCTTTGATCCTATTTCTTAATCAGTGTAGCCTCAGGAAGACTGAGGCTGCTTATCAGGGTAGAAAAGGGGTTAACCTTTTAAGTGCCTGTCCCTTCCTTCTTCACACTGTAACTAGGTAACAGTTTGATAGCTAGGAAAGAAAACAGATCAGTAAGCAGCAGCCACACCCCAGGCTGGCTGCTGGCCTCACCCCAGGAAGGGGATGGGGGGGCCATCCTTCCTAGTGGTGTGGCCCTGCTATGTGATGGGAGACCGAGGCCAGAGACAGTGCGTGGTGGGGAAGCTCCAGTCTTGCAGTCTGCCCAGCCCATCTTGCCTCCTTGGTGCCTCTGGAGGCCTCTGTGCCTCCTCTAAAGGGGGCTGGTGGGTACTAAGAGCCAATGGACTGGACTCCCGGCTGTTAAGGGCTAAGCCCCACCCAGTGCTTTTGAGAAGGGGTTAACACTGCTACATGGACTATGGTTCCTGGGGTGCCCTCCACTACCCTCTGCTCAGTAACAGAGCCTTGCTAATTAGGTTGTCACTTGACAAAAAGTGCTTGGGATTTGAGTTACCAACCTGGCTTTGCCCAACCTCAGTAACTTGTAATACTGATAATGAAATAAATCGTGTTAATCCTAGCTGTGTGAGTCTCTCTCACCCTTCTGCGCCCAGCTTCTCTTCCCTGGGACGAGGGCTGGGTGTGTCTTTGTTCCACAGCTTGGGGCCATCGGTCCTGTCTCCCCACTGCTGGCTGGCCACAGCTGTGGCGAGGCTGGGCAGCTGAACAGTGTTGGCTTTCATGAGGAGACAGAAAGGAGAGAGGCTGGTCTTAGACACACACAGAAAGTGGGGGTTGGCTGGGTATGAGGGATGCAGAGCACAGAGTCTCATCCCCTATTAACTACTAAAACAGGCCCACAGGTGTGCCCAGCCCAGTCAGAAAGACTTCTCAGAAAAAAAACACAAACCCCAAACAAAAAAACGCATGAAAGACTTCTCAGAGAAGCAAGACCCCAAACTGCTAGTATGGATTTCCCCAGGTCAGTGGTGCTTCAATCACAAGGGAGGGCCTGACTTTCAGTCTCTTCCAACAACGGTCTGGACAGCTACACAGGGGAGTTCCTAGGCCTAAATCAGTCATCTCTTCACCATGGCCTTGGCACCAAAGGGGGAGGACTAGAAAAGAATAAGGCAGGGGCTCGGAAAAGAAATCATGGTATCTGTTTGGTCCAAGGTCTGCTCCACCATCTCTACCACCCAAGCACCAAAAACCCGTTTCAGACGAAGACCCTAGTGTCTGCCTGGAAATCCCCACAAGATTCCTCACCACAAACACTAAGCCTGACCCGACCGGCATGACATGTGCCATGGCTTCCTTCTCCAGCTTGCTGCCCAGGCAGAAAGGGCACCAGTGGAGAAGTGAGGGCATTTGCTAATAACGGTGTTTCCAACTGTGTGGGCAAACGTCAGCAACCAGATCCCTGGGCCCAGGAGGCAGGGTTTTACCTTGTCTCCATCTCCCTCAAACCTGCAAGAGGAACTGTGAGAGTCCATGTAAACCTCTGTCTAGGTTAGCCTGGCCTGACACACATCCACCCCTGCTCTATGTGAGCTTTGGACATACACAGCTGCTAGTGACTTCTGGTGGCCTCCACCATAAAGCAGGCATGTTTTCTGAACTCAGTTCCCTATGACTGACAACAGACCGGGCCCAGCGGCATACCCAGCACCTGCGCAGCACTTCCATGCCGAACAGGTTTGGGAGAGGCAGCCAGCACCCCACCTGCCACCAGGCTCTGGAAGCCCACAACCCTGTGGGGCAGCTTGTGAGCCTGAAGACCACGTCAGCATTAGGTCCGTGCTGGGGGCTCAGCTCTGGCCCACTGACAAAGCATCTGGCAGAGCAAAGTGCCAGAAAGGATCAAAACATTTTATTCTCTCTTTTTTTAATAAAGTTAAACAGTAAAACAAAAATTCACAAGCTGCCTCCCTGTCTACCCCCCGCCTCCCTCCCCTCCCCGCAGTCTTCAGTGCTGGCTCCCTTTCCTTCACCCCACTCACAGACACAGGGCATCCAACTGAGAAAACGAAACTGCTCTAAGTACATGGAGACATGATGAAGGGAGGAGGTGAATTGTGTCCACATTCAAGGTTAAACTGAGCAAGTCGGCATTTTCTGGATTCTGGATGGTTTCCTTTCATTAGCCAAATTGAAAAAAGAAATTCCCAGGACCAGATGCTGTAGGGAAAAAAAGGGCTTGTTAGTTGACTTTGGATTTTCTAGGAAATATCACTTTGCTCTGATTATGGAGAAGTCTCCAAGGGCTGCTTCAAAGTCAGAGAAGAAGCTCTAATGGTATCAAACAGCCTGGGCCCTGGGATGTAAGGGAGCACATGAGCATGTTGTGTGTGTGTGTAGCTTCTAACACCTCCCCTCTTGCAGACAAGCCCTGGTACTAGGTAGTTAGCAACGCCTCCCTGACCCTGTGGAGGTGTGACAATAAGGCAAGGTGCCCAGAAAGCTCCCTTCTGCTATCCTCAGCCACGCTGGAGGGGACAGAGGCCCCACTAGATGAGAATTCAGCTGCCTCCAATCATGAGCCCCCTGATCAAAGAGCTCCCTAACTGGGGACTCCCAAGAACAGCAGGCATACCCACCTTCAAAGCTGAAGCCCCCAGGCCCACCGAAGAATGCCTTGAAGATATTGTTTGCATCAAAATCTGTGGGCAAGGTGAGAAACAGGGAAGGAACAAAAAGGTGAAAAAAATAGAAGTGTTTGAAGGGGAATTTATCATGACACTCAGAATGGGTCTCCAAAGCTTTCCCAGATAGTATCACCCTCCCTCAGTTTCCCCAGCTTCAGACTAGAGGTGAGGACATCTGCCCCACCCTATGCAAATCTTACTACTTGACCCCACTCCTGGGCTATGTTCCCTTCTGTTCCCACGTGCAGCCCCAACCCCAAAGGAGAGCGTTCTTTGCCTCAACCCAGTTAGCTGGCCCTCTCTTCTCCACAATTGGGAATGCCACAGACTTTCCCCACACTATCTCCCTATAATGCTTGGGGCTGCTACTGAAAAGGCTAAAATTTATCACACACTACCGAGAATAAATACAAGACCTATAATTTATTGTATCTGTTTGATTCTATGCTGTATAAACTGTATTCCAGAAAACTTGTGGTTTATTAAAACACCAAGTAGGTGCCAATCATGGTGCCGGGTACTTTGCATATATATCATTTAATCCTAAAAACAGTTTCTCAGGATTAAGTATCATTACCAATTTATATTCAATGAAACATAAGTAGAGAGCTCAAGTAATTTGCCCAAGATCATGTGGGTAGTAAAAGCAAAATAACTGATTAATTCCAACTTCTGTCTGACTCCAGCACTGTGCCCGTGTCATGAGGCCACAGCAGGTCTGATGCCCCCAACCACTGCCTGACCTAAGTTGCACAGAAAGATTTATCTCCACCCCTGAATCCCAAAGGCACACTGTGTCCAAAAGTGAATTCTTTGCCAGCACATCTGTTCATCTTCCTGGGTCCCCTTGCTCAGTGAATGGCCCCATTGAGTCTGCTATGCCAGAGCCACTCTCAACTTAGTCCTTTCCCTCTCCCAACACATTCAAGCAACCAACTCCTGCTGAGCCCGTCATCTCCCAACTGTGCCCGCCAGTCCTTTCCATCTACTGTCTTCCCTCCCTTGCTATTCTCTTCCTCCAAACCACCTCTTTGCTGCCATCACAAATGTATTTCCAGAGCCTAAATCTGGCCCATAACTCCCCTACTTAAAACTCTTAAATAGCTTTTGATGGATTATAGCTCCATTACCGGTAAACCTAGGTTTTTCTCTCTCACTGAACTGGAGAGGTCAGGGTTATCTATACATCAGTATCAATCTTACTGTAAGTTCCAAAAGTTTTTCTTAGTGAAGGAAAAGGGGTTGGCATTAGAGACAGTGGTCTGAGAAGTGGGCATAGTTCAAGGCCTCTCTTATCTCTGAGCTCAAAGTGAGCAATGATGTTGATAGCTGTGCTTTACTTCATCCTAAGTCTTTTGGGGGAAATTAAAATCTGTGAGTGCTTACAGGAATGTATGATGCAAATAAATATCAGAATACACTTTGTAGTAGGAGCAAAAGAAATTCCAGCCAACAGGAAAAGCCCATAATCCTACTCCATCCCCTAAGGCCTCCTGAGGTCTGCTCCAGCTAATCTCTCCACACTGCCCGCCTCGAGCACCCTCTATCCCTCAGAGCCCCTTGGAACTCCCAAGGGTGGTTTACTTTTCTGCACTTCCATGCCTTCCTTCCCTTGCTAAACTCACTCCCCAGTGCCCCCTGGGCACGTGCTACACTTAATTGCACTCACTTGATTCCATGTCTATTAGATCAGGGGTCAGATTTGGTCTGCAGGTAGAAGTTTGCAAACCTCTAGACTGGGTTCCCAGAGGTCAGGAAACCTGTTTGATTCATCTTTATTATTTCCAGCACCCAACACGGTGCCTCACATGCCACAGGTCTAGATCAAGGGCATGCTTTACGAATCACTGCGCGCCACTGGCTGATTACATAGTCTTTCCCTCTGGAGTGTCTTCAAAAATATTCTAAAATTCTACAGCTATCAGATGCATCCCAGGTTGCCCAAACCAACTCACCACCCATATTCATGCCCTCCTCATCCAGGTCCTGTCCACTGTCATAGCGAGTCTTTTTCTTGGGATCAGAGAGGATGGTAAAAGCTTCTCCAACTTCCTTGAACTTTTTCTCCTCCTCCTTCTGAACTTCGGCACTGGCTCCACTGTGCCGATCTAAAGGGGGGAGTACAGGGAACTCGTCTCAGAGTCTCAAGAAAGAAGTTAAAGAGAAAGACCACTTGATGTCTGACTTTAGAATTCGGTACTTCCCAAAATTTGGAGGGCACTGAACTTAGCAACACCTTCTTCCCAGTGAAGCGCCTCTCTGAGGCTTTCATTCTGGACTGAGTTTGTTACTGGGCCAGCCTGGCTTGCTCTTCCCACGGAGTCCACTCCCCACAGCTCTACCTGGATGGTGCATCAAGGCCCGTTTCCGATAAGCTTTCTTGATCTCATCCTCAGAGGCATTCTTGTCCACTCCCAGAATCTTGTAGTAATCTTTCCTCTTACTCTTCTTTAGTTCCATCTGTGCATTTTTAAGGAGTTGTTTGTGTTCTAAAGGGAGACATCTAGCATCAAGGACAAATCTGATCTGGCTTCCCCTACCAGGTCCCAGCCCAGATGTGTTGGAGTCAGAAGTCTTGTTAACTATACCAGGGGCTTTTATGGTGTGTTTTCCCCCTAGAGATTAAAAAAAATCTACTCATACTTAGAGTTTCTCACATCAGTCTCATCACAGAGAAAAGGATGTGAAGTTAACAGGCAAGATTTGGGACCAGAAAAATAGATGCCCCGTTCTACACTCAGGATTTCTGTTCACTTCTTCCTGGCTGGTGATCGAATAAGCTCCAGCTACAATCATGATCCCTAAATCAAATCACCCGTGTCCAGTTCTTAGGGCCTACAAGTAAGGCCACACCGTTTCCTGAGAAGCATGCTTCCAAATACCTTTACCTTTTGTTTTCTCCGTCTGATACACTTTTTCATAGTCCCGCACTGCTTCTTCATACTGTTCTGTGTCCATGTAACTGAGAAGGAAATACAGGGCAGTAGAGTGACATAAATAGCAATGGCCTTCAGTATCACTCTAGAGGAAGAGGCATGGCTCAAGCATGAAACACAGACTTTTGGTTGAGATGCTTCATGAAACAGGAGTCCTTAAGTTAGCATGAGAAAAAATTAACCACCACACTTCCTTGAGAAAAATAGAGAGGTCTCATGCCACTTGCACCCAACCCGCAAAGTGATAGTCTGCTCTGAGCAGAAAGCAACCAAGAGAAACTTCCTTTTGATTTCATAGAGCCACCAAGAGGCATCTGGCCTGCCTTAGGAAAGGCAATGTGAAAGCACCCATTTGATTGAGATTAAAACACACGAGAAAAATTATCAAGTGAGATAAATGGATATGGAAGAGCTTTGAAACATAGAGTGCCATAAACATGCAGGGCCAGCCTCAATCCAGAGTGGAAGTGGGATTAGTGAGCCACTAGAAGGATCAAGGTCAAGGTGGTGGCCACTGGCAAATGCTTTCATTAAGACCAATCAATCTGAGAGATATAGGTGAGACAGAAAAGGACTCTAAACTTAGGCTTGCTTCCATTTGGATGGTGCAAAAGAAAGGAGGGGACCTGGCCCAAGATGGGAGGAATCTAGCTTTTGATAGGCCAACTGCTAGACCTTTTAAGTGTTTCCTCCACAGAAGCCAAGGGGGCATCTTCTGTGTCCTGATAAGATCATTGGCACCAAGACTGGCTACCAATTACATAGACTGCAGTAGTGGTCATAGAGACAGACACCGTCAGTTGAGGAATGGGAAGTGACTATGCAGTGCAGCTGGCCGACGCACAACAAAGATTCAATTTACTCCAATGCTCCCACACAGGCCCATCTTCCCAAACACCACAGAGCCCACCAGGCTTGCAGGCCAGGCAGAGGAAGTGCTGCTTACATAGCTGGCCAAAGAGAAGCCCAACAGTTGAGGTATCTCTGACTTTCTGTCAACACCTTGATTTATGCCTTAAAAAAAAAAAAGATAACTAAACCATGCCCTATGGACACAAATGCTATTAGGAGCTCAGAGAACCCATTTACAGGATGAAGTATAATATAAATTGAAGTGAAAAAAAAATTGGTAACTGATAGCCCTGGGTGTAGAATGATCTGACAAGAAACCTTGATGAACTTTCCAGATCCATGTGTGATATGCTCAACAAGCTGGTTTTATAGTGACTTGCATTTTATCTCACACTTAATAAAAAAAAGTTCTAGGACATTCTTACATTTAAAAGTTTTTCTGAAGTTGAAGTAGAAAAGTAAGCAAAGCCTTAGGGAGAATGGGAAATGCCAGCTCATGATGGGAAATATAGCAATGATCTGACATCTCCCCAACTTTAGGGACAAACTGAGGCAGACTAGGACAACAATCAGGCCCCTGGTCTGAGCTAATCTCCAATTCTTCTTGTGGGGGCTGTTGCCAAAGTCTCAACCAACTGTGCCCAACTATGCTGCTGCCCCCTGTGGTGGGATCTCAAAAGTAGAGCCACTCAGGACAGTTTTATTTCTACCACAAAGATGATATGTCTCTGATCAAAGCAACTCCTGATTTTTGTTTATTGTACCCATATAAAAAAAATAACCTCCATTCATCCTCCTCCTAACAAATCAAGAATGTCTGTTCTCCCGCCATTGCAGTATCATGTATCTAGACATACAGGTGATTCTCCATTTTTGCTATTAGTTAAAACTGTAGTAAACATGTATACAGCATTTTGCATCTGTTAAAATAAGTCTTTAGCTGGGTCAAAGGGTACTCTTATCTTTCGAAGCTTCCACATTTGTTTGTCAGTGGTTTGTAAAGATGAGATTAACTGACAGTTGGTCTCACAGAATCTATAATTTTGCATTTGTTTCTGTTTCAGAGACTTAGTCCTCTACTTAAAAATCCACGCACGTAGCAGTTTTCCTATTTTAAAAAAATGTGGATAATTTTGGCAAAACTAGGCCACCTCCTGCACCACCTTCTGCACCACCGATGAGACTTGGGCACTTAAAGAATGATAGGCTCATCAGGCAGTACAGCACCTACTCTTTAGAAATGACATTTCATAATGAGGACTGAAGGGGCAATGGAAGATCGGTATACAAGTAGGTCTTCCATTAGAAATTTTAAAAATGGGAGGTTCCTTGTCTGGGAAAGAATCTGAAAAAAGATAGATTTGCATTGGCTGAGTGGCTCAGTTGGTTGGGGCATTATCCTGTACACCAAAAGGTTGCGGATTCCATTCCCCGTCAGGGCACATTACTAGGTTGCGGGCTCGATCCCCGGTTGGGGCATGTAAGGGATGTAACTGATTGATGTTACATCTCTCTCTCTCTGTCTCTCTCCCCTCTCTAAACATATCTGCAGGTGAGGATTTAAAAAAAAAAAAAAAGAAGTAAGATTAATTTTTGAAAGGGGTCTCTTCTAGCTCTTGCTAATATTCCTGCATGGAGAAGACTCTGGTGGGTCCAAGAGTTAAGATGAACAAGTATGCTCTGGGCACTAAAGGCAGGCATACCCTGGCTCGGAAATCAGCTAGTCAGATGGGTATTTTCAAAGGGGGTTCCATATACTGCTGGGAGGTTGAGCTAGATTAAATCTCTTCTAACTTTAAGACTGTCTTTCCTAACCCAAACAAACAGGCTAAGCAAGACTCTCAACTGTCTCCAAGATTATTCTTCTTCCAAACACCATACATTCATTCAACATTTATTGAGTGAGCACTTACTATGTTCCAAGCACTGTGCCAAGTTAGAGCAAAAGTGTACAACACAAAACAAAATCTCCAAAGAAAATGGATTTAAACTTTAACAAAAGGTATTTGGGTCAGGCATCAGAGGAAACTTACTGACCGTGAGGGGCGTAAGACACAGGCATGGGAGACTGAGGGAGCTTGTGCAATCTCCTCCGCTGGAGGTCTATAAACATAGTTTAGGGCTGGAACAATCCCACCTAGAGGCAGGGGGAAGGACCAAATGACCTCACAACATCCCCGGGTCTGCTTCATCATCCATAATGCAATTCCCCTGGCAGGCCAGCAGCAACTCCCTCTTCCCCCCACCCAGCAGAGGCACTCACCACTGAGCTCTTCTCAAGTAGGCTTTTATGTAAGTGTCATCGAGCTTCACTGCACTTGTGCAGTCTTCTATTGCATCATCTAGTTTCCTAAGCTTCAGGAGAGAGAGAGCAGTCATACTTCACATGGTGGTGATCGAGGGAGCCCAGAAGCTGTGAGCATGGCTTCAAAATTCTAAGGGGATTGGTCATGCTGGCTCTCCAATTGTCACACTTGTTCTTGGTCACTGGGAAAGTCTCTATCTCAGTGGACTAAGGACACCAAATTTGAAATTGGTTCCTTCTCTAAGTAATGGAAGCCAGGCACACTTATCTACAAGGATAAAACCACCTCTACTATTCCAGGTTAGTGCTCAACAGTGGAAATAGTAAGGGTGGTTCCTGCCCTCCATTCTTCCAGAGACCAACTAGAGCAGTGATGGCGAACCTTTTGAGCTCGGCGTGTCAGCATTTTTAAAAACCCTAACTTAACTCTGGTGCCATGTCACATATAGAAATTTTTTGATATTTGCAACCATAGTAAAACAAAGATTTATATTTTTGATATTTATTTTACATATTTAAATGCCATTTAACAAAGAAAAATCAACCAAAAAAAATGAGTTTGCGTGTCACCTGACATGCGTGTCATAGGTTCGCCATCACTGAACTAGAGGGATCAGGATTACTGGGATTTTTAACTACCGGAACTCTGCAAGGAGCCTACTCTTGTTTTCTACAGTGGATAGGACCACAGGGGCACTCTCTTTTCAACTGAGCATGGTGACCATCAGTTATGCTGAAGGAAAAAACCCAAGCCTGCCTCATACTCTCATTTCCTCCAAATCACTCCTAAAGAATCACTTGCTTAGGCAAAAAGAAGCAACAATACTTGCTTCAACAACTGTCCCAGAGCTCCTGTCATTCTCTGGAAAAAAAGGACTTTACATCGTTGCTCAAGTGCCCCTAAGTTCCACAGAAAATATAAAAGCTTGCCTCTCAGAAGGAAGGTCTTAATAAGCTGAGATACCAAACAGCTTTTCCTCCTGTCTTCTGGGCTACCCTCAGTGGGGAGATTTCCCAAGACCTCTTCCATGTCCCTTAAAAAAATCTCCATAGGCCCCCAGACCAAGTGCTTACCTTGGAATTAACCGTACCCCGATTACAGTAGAGTTTAGCATTTGTTTTTATATTGTTGGGGTCTATCCCCAGGGCTTCTGTGTACAGTTCATATGCTAGCTTGTAATTTCCTTCTTTAAAGGCTTTATTTCCATCTTCTTTCTTTGCTTTCAGTGCTTTGGCATTCTATAGAGAAAAGCAAGGGGAGGTCAGTTCACATCCAGAAAGCCTCAGAACCCCTGCACAGAGACTACCCTATTTTTAATTTCTTGATCCCAGTAGTTCAGCATCACACA